GGAGGAGGAAGGAGGGAGGGAAGGAGGAGGGAGAGGAGGAGGAGAGGGGGAAGAGAAGGGAGGAGGGGGAGAGCAAGGGCAAGGTCCAAAGTAAGGGTTCCAAACCTTTGCCCTGCCGGCCAAATTTGGCCTGTCTTCGGTTTTTGTTCAGCTCAGGAGCCCAGAATGGTTTTCACATTTTGTAACTGTTTAAAAATACAAAGAGATTAATATTTTGTAACAAATGAAAATTATATAAAATTCAAATATTGTCCACGAGGAGTTTTATTGGAACAGTAATGCTCATTTGTTATGTCTGTCCATGACTGCTTTGCAGAACAGCAGAGTTGAGCAATTATGAGAGACCTTAAGGCCCCCAAAGCCTAAAGTGTTTACTACCTGTACCTTTACAGGTTTGCTGCCCACATTCCAGGGGCTGCTCAAGGCCCTGGCTGTTAAGGAGGGGGTGGTGAGCCTCCGGTCTGGGGGGGAGTCCCAAGCTGGGGAGCCATCCCAGCCCTGCTCAGCCTTACCCTAGGGTTTGTCAGCTGGCGGGAGAGCCCTCCTTACCTGCCCCCCAGGCCACCCTCTGTGGGAACACGCGGGCTAGCTCCTCCCTGCAGCCTGGGGACCCAGGTTTGTCCCACACCATCTTTGGGAGCCTTCCCCCGTGTGGTGGGCGGGGGCCCGTGGGACCCTGTACTCCCAGCTAAGTGGTTGTTGCTTCTGGTTACCCATTAACCAGCTAGTCCTTACCCAAAGTTTCAAGGAAGTCAGGCCTGCACATTTATTGCCTTGTTGCTCCCAGGAACGTGACAAGCCCTGTCACCTGCACCCTAGGACAAACGGTCTTGGTGATCCAGGTACTGGCCTTATGCAAGCTATTGCCTAAGGCAGTGTTTGAGACTTTGTTATTTATTTATTTATTATTTATTTATTTTTAAAGATTTTATTTATTGGACAGAAAGAGACACAGTGAGAGAGGGAACTCAAGCAGGGGGAGTGGAAGAGGGAGAAACAGGCTCCCCCCTCCCAGCAGGGAGCCCGATTCGATTGGGGGGGGGGCTCGATCCCAGGACCCTGGGATTATGACCTGAGCCGAAGGCAGACGCTCAATGACTGAGCCACCCAGGCGCCCGGAGACTTTTTTTTTTTTTTAAACCTCAACCCTCGGTTAGAAATACATTTTACATTGCAGCAGAGTTTCACAAAACTATCTACCCCTATTACAGGTGATGTACTCTTGCCAGTGTCTGTTCCTTTTCTGTTTTTTAGAAATGATGATCATGAAACATGAAATTGATTTTATGAACTACTAATGGGTTGCAACCAGCAATATGAAAAATGTGTTTGATGGTACTCAGACATATCTGTCTTTTCTCTTTTACAGTACAAAGCACAACAGCAGCAAAGGGCCTCCTTCACCTGTTGGCAGAGGCTTCCTGGTTCTCAGTTTTCATGTCTCTCCTTGCCGCCCTTGACCTAAGACAGAGCCCTCAACCTCCATGAGGAATAAATCCGCATACCTGTTTGTTTCTACCCCATGTGCATTGAATCCTGGTAACCTTGATTACCTGGGGTGGGGGAGGACAGGAGGAACTGGGGATAGGAAGAGGGCTTAGTCTTCATTCTGCTTAAGTAAGTGCTGTTTGAATTCTGTCACATACATATTTACATTTTGTATTTAAAAACATTTGGAGCCTACAGAAAGGTGTCAGGAACACATGCAACCTGGTCCTGCGCCCAGCAACAAGTTCATGTACTCTACCTTCCCCCCACTCCTTTCTCCCCACAGACCTCTTCAACCACCCCTGCATTTGCCCCTGGGAGTGAATGAAGCCTCAGAATGCTTAACATTCCCAGCAGTGGGCAGTGCTGACAACTGATATGTCAGAAGTCCAGTTGAAAGTTAGTTGCCATCCAGGTGCACCTGGGTAGCTCAGTTGGTTAAGCGGTTGAGTGTCTGCCTTTGGCTCAGGTCATGAACCCAGGGTCCTGGGATTGAGTCCCACATGGGGCTCCCTGCTCAGCAAGGAGCCTGCCTCTCCCTCTGCCTGCTGCTCCCCCAGCTTCTGCTTTCTCTCTCTGTCAAATAAATAAATAAAACCTTTAAAAAAGAAAAAAGGGGGAAAAAGGAGGTTCGTTGCCATCCTGTAGACTGCCTACCAGCATGCAGTCTTTTTATTTTGAAAATTTAGACTTACAGACAAGCTGCCAGGATAGCATGCTCCGCTCAGATTCCCCCAATGTTAACCACAGAAGGACCAAAGCCAGGCGATTCACAATGATATAACACTGTTCACTCATCTACTAGCCTTACTTGGATTTTGCCAGATGTTCCACCAGCATCCTGTTTCCAGAATCCCATTCGGGGCATTTCGTTGTCCTGTCCCCTTCAACCCCCACCTGGGATAGTTCCTCAGTTTCCCCTTGCCACCTCAGCCCTTTGGCCAGTTATGTTGTAGGACGGATCTCCCTGTTTTCTCCTTCCTAGGTTGAAGTTACCCATTTTTGGCAAGAATACCACAGAAGTGATGTGCCCTTCTCTGGATACCCTTATCAGGTGGTACTAATGTGTCTAATTACTCTCATAATAATTTTGATCACTTGGTAAAAGTGGTGTCTCCCTGAGGTTTCTCCTCTATAAAGTCACTGTTTTCCTTTGTAATTAATAAACATTCTGTGGGGAGATGCTTTATGACTATATAAATATCCTGTTCTCTCATACTTTTTCCTGCTAATTTTAGTATCCCTTGATGATTCTTGTTTGCAACACTTATTACTGTGGTTTTTATCAAATAGTGATTTTTCTATTTCCACTATTCTTTTTACATTAAATGGGAATTAAATGTAAAAAGGAACTGTCTCTTTCCCCCGTTTATTTACTTAGTCCATTGTTTTTATATCTTTATGGATGGTCTCTTAGATATTTATTTCATTCTGTGGGTTATAATCCATTACTCTTATTTTTCGCTCAAATCATACCAGATTTGGTGATTGAGAGCTCCTTTAAGTTGGCTTCTGTGCTCCTTGACCTGCCTCCATCCCTGGAGCGCTTCCTTACTGTCTGACACAAGATGTTCCAGGCTCTTCTGGTACTTTCCCTGCCCCAGCCCTGGAATAATCAGCCGTTTCTCTAGGAGCCCTGGTTTGTTTTATTGGAGAATGGTATTTAGGAAGTAGGATCTAGGCACAAATCAGATTTAACTTGGTTAAATGAAAATGCAAAACTGGACTGGCCTTCCGAATAGCTTGAAAGGAGAGGGGCAAGCTATGCAGGGCAGAGGGGGGAGGCGAGAGGCAGGGACACAAACAGATACTGAGGTTGAGAGAGAGTGGGCAGAACAGAGTGAGCCAAGGTAGGGAGGGCAGCGTGACTGTTCATTCAGTCCTTGGCTGGGAGTACCTGTGGGAAGCATGGCCTCCATGCAGATAAAATGAAGGATTCAGAAAGAAACCATCAACAAAACAAAAAAAGGCAACCTACTGAATGGGAGAAGATAGTTGCAAATCTATCCCATAAAGGATTAATATTCAAAGTATTTGAATAACTTATACAACTCAACACCAAAAAAAACAAATAACCTGATTTTAAAAATGTATGGAGGACTTGAACAGACATTTCTCCAAAGAAAAAATACAGATGACCAAGAGACACATGAAACGATGCTCCACATCACTGATCATTAGGGAAATGCAAATCAAAACCACAATGAGCTATTACCTCACACCTGTCAGAATGCCTCAAAAACTCAAAACACAAGATTCAAAACCACAAGAAATAACAAATGTTGGTGAGGATGTGGAAGAAAGGGGACCCTGGTGCACTGTTGATGGGAAGGTAAATTGGTGTAGCCGTTGTGGAAAACAGTATGGAGGTTCCTAAAAAATTAAAAATAGGATTACCATATGATCCAGTACCATATGATCCAAATACCCACGACTGGATATTTACCCAAAAAAAACAAAAACACTAATTCAAAAAGACACATGCATCCCTATCTTTATGGTGGCATTATTGACAATGGCCAAGATATGGAAGCAACCCAAGTGTCCATCGATAGATGAGTAGATAAAAAAGATGTGGTATATATATATACAAAGGAATATTAGTCAGCCATAGAAAAGAATGAAATCTTGCCATTGGTGACAACATGGATGGATCTAGAGGGTATTATGCTAAGTGAAATAAACTTAGAGAAAGAAATACCATATGATTTTACTTATGTGTGGAATCAAAAAAACAAAGAAAAAGCAGAAATAGACCCATATATACAGGAAACAAACTGACGGTTTGCTGGGGGTGGGGTGGGTAAAATGAGTGAAGGGGGGTGGGAGATACAGATTTCCAGTTATGGAATGAGTAAGTCATGGGAATAAAAGGTACAGCATAAGGACTATCACCAATGGCACTGTCATGCATTGTATGGTGACAGATGGGAGCTATGCTTGTGAACATATATGTAGACTTACGGAATCACTATTTTGTACATCTGAAACTAAAGTCCCATTGTATATCAACTATACTTAAAAAAAAACAAGGAGGGATGCCTGGGTGGCTCAGCCGGTGAGCATCCGACTCTTGGTTTTAGCTCAGGTCATGATCTCAGGGTCCTGTGATCAAACCCCAGGTCAGGCTCTGAACTCAGCGGGGAGTCTGCTGGAGATTCTCTCCCTCTCTTTCTGACCCTCTCCCCTCTCTAAAATAAATAAATACATCTTAAAAAATTTTTTAAAAAAATCAAGGAACACTGGGCTGCAGGCAGAGATACGCATCTGGGGTGTGCACCTGGGGCCTGGAGTTGGGAGGGAGGGGATGACTTTTCATTTTTGTCTTTTTATTTTTTTTAAAGATTTTGTTTGTTTATTTGACAAAGAGATAGAGAGAGCACAAGTAGGCAGAGAGGCAGGCAGAGGGAAGGGAGAAGCAGGCTCTCTGCTGAGCAGGGAGCCCGATGCGGGGCTCGATCCCAGGACCCTGGGATCATGACCTGAGCCGCAGGCTGACGCTTAACGGACTGAGCCACCCAGGCACCCTTCATTTTTGTCTTTAACAATGTCTGTGTTCATTGTTTCCTTTTCTCAAACCGGAGAACAATGGAAGGGGCGCCAATGGACCAGTGCAGTGGGGTTCACCCAGCACAGACAGATCTTTGCATGGGGGGCCAGCCACGTAGCAGTTCCAAATGCTGAAATCCTTGGGGCTCAGAGGGAGTGCAGCTTTCAAACTGCACTCTTGTCACACAGCACAAGAAATACATCTTATATCCTAACATATAGACACATATTCCACTTAAACCAGTATCCACCCTTGTTATGTATGACACAAGCTGTTTTCTCTTCCAGGCAGGTTATTTCCCACTAGTTTGATTCCAGAACATACTAATGAATAGATCCGAACCTGCAGTTTGAAAAACACCCCTCCAGGCCATCCTCTTATTGTGCAAACAGGGTAACTGCGGCCCTAAGAAGGAAACTGAGTGCCCCAAATGCTATGGCTTTTCAAGAGGACCTTTTTACTTATGACCTTTCAAACAATGCTACATTTGTATAGCTACTCGGGGTGGGGGGGGCAATAGGTCTGGATAATGAGAGCAGATTTTTGGAAAGTGTGAAAAGTTGGATGAAATTGGGCTAACGGTCTTGAACCAGATTTCCTGGCCTTATTCAATAGCCCCAAATGCCTAATGTGGGAGGCCCTAGGCTCTTTGAAATAAAGTAAATGTTTTGTCCTTCATCTGTCCCTTCGCGACTTACTCAGCAAAAGCTCTGAGAAGGTACCTGCAGAGGCAGGCTTGCAGGATGAAGGTGTGAGTGCCTTGCCCTCCGGGTGCTCTCAGTCTCCTTGGGAGCCGCAGAGGACCTTGCAGTAGGAGATGTACAGGGTGGGGGTGGGGCAGGCTGAGGATCTGGGGCCTGGAGAGCGAAGTGTGGTGGGAAGGACAAGGAGGGGTTGGAGACACGGAGGCTCCACGATCGAGGCCTTCTCTGCCTGCCACCCCACGGAATTTGAACTTCATCCCATGGGCAGTGGGGCCCTGTGATGTGCTCTGAGAAGGGGAGTGACCTGGCCAGATCCTTTACAATGGCTCGGTAGCCACGGGAAGCCAGTCGCCAAAATCTGACACTGCAGTGCATGGAGGCCACCCTGGGAGGTGACCCAGGTCTAGAAAAAGGGAGCTGGAGTTTGCAGTGAATAGCTGACAGCAAGAGCCGGCAGGCCGAGGCACGAGGGCAGCTTTGCACCCCCACCCCCACCCCGGAGTGCAGAGACCATGGGCGCTTTTCTAAAGACTTAGAGCTGACATCAGAGAGTTTTCAGACCCTCTATCCTGAGGCACTGCCCTAGAGAATCACACCAGCCCATGCCCCAGAACTCAGTCCCTGCGCCCCTCAGAGGGTGAGGCACTTGAACACGAGGTGGGGTATTACAGTGAAAAGACATACAGTGCGCTGTCCTCCACAGACCTGGGTTCGAATCCTGCCTCTTCCACATACAAATAGGTGACTTTAGCAAAGTTGGTTAACTCTGCTCTGGACTATA